CCACAAGTGACGCAGTAGAGACGAAAATGTGGAATAAAGTCGTTATTTTTGTTTTCTTTGCACAAAAAAGTATTCTCGTAGCTTCGTAACTTTACAGTTGAACCACTGATGTCACACGGACTACTTTGTCGATCATCTTGGTACTTTTCTGGACCTTGAACGTGGTAGTTACCTTGCTGTCTATGGGAGGGTCAGAGAGCCCTCAGATTTCATCAAAAATATCTTAAATTGTGTTCCGAAGATGTCTTACGGGCGAGAACACGAGGGTGAGTAATTAATGACAGAATTTTCATTTTTGGGTGAACTAACCCTTTAAGTGTCTACTTTTAAGATTTCAAAGAAGTTTTTGGAGAATAAAATGTCAAAATTTGGTTGAAATAATGTTACATTGTTATTCAGTGTAACACAATATTTATGTAAAAATTCAAACAACATGCTTATTCTGACATGTACATATTAAAATATATAAAAGAATAAGGGAGCATATTAAATTTGATTGTGTTTTAAATGAGTAAAAAATTCTTACTGACAAATGGGCAAAATCTAGGATAGTGGCACATTTTAAAAATGTAATTAGTATTTGAGGTGAAAGTAATTCGCTTTTTAATATGTCATAAATTGATTTTTGTTGTAAATGTGCCTGACAAGATTGTTACACTGAATGATGTTTTAGTGGGTCTCTTCTGTAAATCAGGGGGAAATGTATGATATTTATCTTTTTGCTCAGAAAACAAAATTGCAATTAAATTAAACAGAATTTTTTCAGAAAAAACAACAATTTAAAGCAGTATTACACTTATTGTTTTTATGCTTAAACCCGTTTTCGTCTTTGACCCATATACATATTCATATATTAACAATAAATATACAATTTATATATTGTCTTTTTACTTGACTAAAATCAATAAAAAATATCAATAATCATAGATTTTTAAATAAAACACTGGCTCCATCTCCCCATTTCTTGTCGTTCACAATGACTTTCAAAGTGCAGAAGGAAATTCTATTTCAGTATTTCCTTCTTTGTGTCTTCCTGATTTTCTTTTAAAAGATTAGCGAAATAATCAACAATTACAAGTCGGCAGTAGCAGCGTGCTAATTTGTTCAACCTGAAGGAGAACTCCTGGCATGAAGCAGAGGTGAGCCGCACGAGGAAATAGAGCCTGTTTTCTCTTTGCACTCTTCACACGCCTGTGGTGTTGCATGCCGTTTAATTGCCTGAAGTAAATCGCTGCATTTGAACGCAGCTTTCCCAGCTGTCCGCTTTTAAATAACGCTACATGTTGTCTGCTATGAAAGGCATGAAAGGGAGGGAAAAGGGCCAAACAAAATGGCCGCCTTCCTGCCATCTTAAACAAGTGTGCAGTTACAAGTCAAGAACGTGTGTGAAGATGAAACTGGCTTGTAGGCTACTTATTTGTAGAAAGGTGAATGATTGCACAGTAACGGTAAGTATACTGTAAATATATATTGCTAAAATCGAAACCTTTATAACCCTAACAAAATGATTGTGATAGTACCATGTTTCAGTGACAGTAATACCATGGTACTGTTAGATTTCTATATTCTGGTAAGCACTGTAAGGTAGATAAAAAAGAAAAACAATTACATTTGATTTCATTACGATTATGGTCAGAGCGTGGTACTTTCTAGAGACTTTTTATAGTCAAACCGTGATACTTTTTAAGGATCTAAATCATGACCAAAAATAGGATAAAAAAATTATTATTAATAATAATAATTATATAATGTGTATGTTTTTCCTGCTTACTGTTTTTCTTAAAACCGTAATAAATTTTTTCGGGATTCTTTGATGAACAGAAAGTTCAAAGGACCCACTTTTTTTTTTTAAATATATAAATCTTTCATAACATTTTAAATGTCTTTACTGTCACTTTTGATCAATTTAATGCATCTTTGGTGAAAAAAAAAAGATATATGTTCTTTTACAAATCAGCATATTAGAATGATTTCTGAAGGATCATGTGACACTGAAGACTGGAGTAATGATGCTGAAAATACAGCTTTGATCACAGCAATAAATTACAATTTAAAATATATTTAGATAGAAAACTGTTATTTTAAATTGTAATAATATTACACATATTTAAATGTATTTCTGAACAAATAAATGCAGCCTTGGGGAGCATAAGAGACTTTAAAAATCTCATAATTGCATATATCATGTATAAAATTGTGAAAATAATTATGGTAAAAAAAATAACCAAGGGTTCCCAAACTTCTGAAGGGGGTAATTTGAATAATTTCAGCAATTTTTTTTGTCTTGTGGACTATATGTAAACATCTTTTATGTAAAATATCTTACTCAGGACACAGTACTAAATAAAAAATAACATGCATTTTGTATGATCTCTCTTTTGTTAAAATTATTCACTTCACATTTTCACAGATTCTGCAAGAGGTTCCCAAGCTTTCACATGCCACTGTATATATATATATGATCAACAATTATATATACATGAAATAGAAATGTTTGCATTGTTATAATACACAGATGATGGCGTCCCAGCATGATGGAGCTGTGGTGGCAGACGGGGGTCACCTGGGGGGGCCAAAAGAATGGACTGCCATGGCAAAGGGGCGGGACGGCGGCACCGTGTCTTTGCATAAATTAGCATGTGAACCGAGGAACTGAAAGACACTGGTGCAGGACATTAACATTCTGAATTCCTCTTTGGCCTAATTAATGGCAGTGATTGAAATGTTTTGGCCTGGCAGTTGGCCGAGACAGCGGGGACCCGGCGGAGAGTCTCATAATTGAGATGTTGGATCAGTTAAAGGGCTGAGTAATCAAGAAGTGATGCACTGCAAAAAAAGATTTTCTTACTTAGAGTTTTTGTCTTGTTTTCCAACATAAATATCTAAACATTCTTACAACAAATCAAAATACATTTCATTTTGAAGCAAAATGACTTAAGATATTAAGTCATGTTTTCTGAAAGAATCAAAATAATGTGCATTTATGTTTAACCCTCTGTGCCTCTTCAGTCGGAACTGACAGAAAAAAATTACATCTTGAATTTTGTATAATTTTTTGCTTCATGGGAATGGGGTGACACTTGGTGACTTTTGTCGCATTAGCTATGTGAAATAAATATCTAAATATTCTTTCAATAAATCAAAATACATTTTATTTAGAAGCAAAATGATTTGAGATATTAAGTCATGTTTTCTGAAAAAAATCTAAATAATGTGCATTTATGTTTAACCCCTCTGGGCCTCTTCAGTCAGAACTGACAGAAAAAAAATTACATCTTGAATTTTGTATCATTTTTTGCTTCATGGGAATAGGATGACACTTGGTGACTTTTGTCATTGCATTAGCTGTGAACACAAAAAAAATCATGGATATGATTTAAAGGTCAAAAAAAGAAAAATGAACACTCAGTATCTTATAAATATTGCATAGTATCATAAAATTCCCTCAAAATTCTAAATAACATAAAAAAAAAGATTTCTGAACAAAAATATTATACATTGATTTTCCTGGAAAAACTTTTGACTGCAACGGTACCAAGTGTGACCCAAAAATGAAGAGGCCCAGAGGGTTAAAATATGAAAAATATCTGCCAATGGGGTCAGAAAAACAAACCTAATTCAAAGGGGAAACCAGTTTTTTTTCTGACCTCATTAGCAGATTTTTCTTTCTTAGTTTTCAGAAAACAAGTCCTACTAATATCATATAATGTTGCATCTCATGTAGATCTTGATTTAAAAATGTTTAGATATTTGGACTGGAAAACAAAACACAATTGGTTTCTACAGTGTGCATTTGAAATGTTTTATAGGCTGCACATCTGTGTGAAAAGAGCATGTGTGCCATATACAGTAAATAGTGCTAATAATTTGTGTTGACTGCAATAGAGTCTGATGTAAGCAGGTTGCTAAACTAACTTGCTATGTTAATACTCACAAATATTGGGTGAAATACATTTTTAGTCCGATTTTACTTTTCAGTATTTAATAAAAATGTATGTTTCTAATCATTATTTCCCTCTCTCTGTCTTCCAGCTCGTTGCAGTGCATTCTGGGATTGCCCTACCCAGGAAGTACAAAACAAGGTACTTTATGAAGCGCCGTACTTCAATTTTTTTGGCTTGTGCTTATGATGCATAAAATGTCATCTAGTTAGGCAGCTCACTACGTTTGCTGTGTTGGGCCTATGGCTTCGTTTGACATTTTTCTTGGATCTCAAAAGGACTATTTGTTATTCCATCACAGTATATGGTCCACGTCTCACTGAAGTCCATGGATCATTACACAAAGTAATGGCTATGTCAACATGAGGCTAAATCTTCATGTCTTGTGAGAGTTAATATATGCAAAGCTAAGCAAAGGCATTATACCTTGAACTCTCTCCTTCACCAGAGAGCAAATTCACATATGTATAACTCAGTCATATTTGCGATTCAAACAGCATTTGGTATAACATATTTGGCAATGAGATACTTGTGATAAGATGGTGACAAACTAGAACAAGTTTGTCAGCGGAAGTGGTTTAGTTTCTCTAACCTCAATCTTGCGGTTAAACGCAAAGGTATTTGTTTTTTATTTCACCTCTGCTGTCAGCATTTCCTCATGTGTTTGCATCTACTAAATGTATTTTATTTGAGCTTTCATTTAGCTGTGGAGTGCAAACAGAACAGAGTATTGTGCACAACATTTATTTTCTACAGATCTTTTTTTATATAAACAGCAAAAAAAAAGTTTTTCGTTCAGAAATTGCTATTAAATTTGTATATAATTTTTTGGTTAATGTGCACTGATGCATCACAGACCATAAGACCAGGAATGTGTATTTAGAAAGTAAATCTCAAATTAGATTTCTCTTTCAAACTTATGCAACCTAATATGCCTATTTAGCACCAAAAGGCTCTTTTATGCAAACCTGGTGCTATTTTATCTAGAAAAGCAATACGTACTGCACTACAGCATTATGAGCTAAGGAACATTTTCGGCATATTTGCATGTTAATTGTCAGTAAATGTAATTAAATGCATTGTGATCATTATGAAAGTGAGTAAATATAGTCCTACCTGCTCATTAAAAGCGAGATGACATATCACTTCCCGCATCTGAATTAGTAGAACTGTTATCTGCACCATTGTCTACTTATGCAGTGTGTTTAAACCCACGGTTGTGCAGCCGTGCAAATCCAGAGGCCTTTTGAACACGCTTATCATTTGCAGCATATTTTTGTGCCTTTCTGTGCATGTTTTTCTTCAGATATTTTATAAAAGATGCTTTAAAATGTTGTGAATTGATGAACTCTTAACATTTTTTAGCATACTTGCTCTTTAAATGTCACGTAAATGTAATTAAATGCATCGTGACCATTAGTAAAGTCAGTAAAAAATAGTCCTACCTGCTCATTGGAAGTGGGATGACACTTCACTTCCCACATCTGAATTAGTAAAATTGTCCATTTATGCAATGTGTTTTAACCCACGGTGGTGCAGTGGTGCAAATCCAGAGGCCCTTATTACACGCTTATCATTTGCAGCGACCCCTAACAATCTGCAGAACTTCAGCTCTACGCCCTGGATGCAAAAATAGCAATTCTAAACAGGAAGTGCCTGTTGACCTTGTTTGTGTATGTGTTCAGTGCAAGTTCAGCACTTATCACGATAGCTGTATTGCAAATAGATGCAGCTTGCAACATTCGGCAGTGCGGTTGCAAAAATAGCACTTTTTCTATATGATTTGTTGAATTAAAAAATATTATTGGAGTATGTCATACAAGAAAATATTGTGTCACTCTTATTTTGTATTTAATTCAGTGTTTGAAACTGTTGAGTGAACACAATTTTTTTCAGTGTAGCTAAAACTTTGTTGAAAAAAATGTTCATTGCCTTTGTTGACACTTGTTAATTAGGCCTGTGATAAAACACTGAGACTGACACTAAAAATGTAAGTAATTTCTGCACTAGAGTTGCAAAAATAATTATTGCTTCCAAATAGGTTTCCTCGAACACTACCTGCAATGTTTTATTTGCTCATAAAAACAGTTAGTCCCGCCCACAAACTCACGCCATTGGTCGAGGTCAGGATCCTCAAGTAAACGTTTTGATAGCACAACACAAAGCCTAAGAGTTCTTTTCCAAGGAAATCAACATCTCAATAGCTTACTTATAGTTGTCACATTGAGCAAAGACAGAAGAAAGTATTTTAACATTGAAAATACAGCTTTGAATGAAGATTTTTGCATGCAGCATGTGCAAGTAAGAAGCCATGTGCTTTCGAAAGCTCATAACTTGATCTGTTAACTCTTTCTTTTCGATACCTGTGAGACAAATGTGATCTGAACTGCTACAAAATGAGACCTTGAATCACATTAGTGACAAATACCTGCTCTGGCGAGTGTCAGGCAGCTGGATGTCCCAGGGTTCGGCTGTTATCCACAAGGCTCTTTTTCTTCATAATGTGATGCTGTTTCTGGTGTTATTGCTTCAGAATTGCAGGTGATTACCAAAATATTTTCCCCGATAAAGGGTCTGTGACTTTGTTCCTGGTTACCACAAAGACACACAGAGAGAAAGAGTGAGAGAGGGAGGGAGCACAAAAATAGCAGGAAGTAGAGAGGGCAGGCCAGAAAAAAAATCATCAAGTAACGTGACAAGTTCATCTGAGGATAGTGAGGGAGGGGAGGAGGAAGTGTTTTCATTTTTTTCCTCTGTCACTCCGCCCACCACCTTACTGCTTTTCTTCGTTACTCTGTTTTCTCTTTGTACAGTGTTCAGGGCAGTTTTCATTTACAACAGTTTCGACATCTCTAAGAGAATTACGATTCTTTGTTGACCGTGTTAATGAACTAACCAAAAGTAGTTAGGCAAACAAAATGTGAGGTGCTTTGGAATGGAAATGCAATGTATAATCAAAATGGCATAAATAATCTCCAAATGTGTTTTAGTTCAATCGTAGATGAAAGAAAGACATATCAAGTGTGTTTTAATAATATTTGTATTATTATAATTTTTTTTACACCTGTTTGTGAATATTAATAACAAGCAAACAAACAAACAAACAAACATATATACAAATATATATATATATATATATATATATGGATGTTTTTTATTCAAATCTAGATTTTGAATTACAGTACAGAATTTTTTTTAAATTTGCATATATGTACATATACACACACACATAGGTTTCTCAGCAAGGCTGCATTTATCTGATCCAAATTACAGTTCAATAAAATATATAAAATACATCTATTAAATAAAATATAATATATATATATATGTGACCCTGGACCTTAACCTTGTCTTAAGTTGCTGGGGTATATTTGTAGCAATAGCCAAAAATACATTGTATGGGTCAAAATTGATTTTCTTGTATGCCAAAAATCATTAGGATATTAAATAAAGATCATGTTCTATGAAGATATTTTGTAAATGTCCTACTGTAAATATATCAAAACTAAATTTTTGATTAGTAATATGCATTGCTACGAACTTCATTTGGATAACTTTAAAGATGGTTTTCTCAATATTTAGATTTTTTTGCACCCTCAGATTCCAGATTTTCAAATAGTTGCATCTCAGCCAAATATTGTCCTATCCTAACAAACCATACATCAATGGAAAGCTTATTTATTCAGAATTGAAAAAAATGGACCCTTATCACTGGTATTGGGGTCCAGGGTCACATACATATATATATATATATATATATATATATATATATA